ATCCAAAATTTATCTGCCTGCATTTTAACACTCACCACATTCTGGTACTCATCACCCCCCTGCTCGTTGACTTACATTGGCTTACAGTCTGAAAGTGCCTTGATATTCGTCTGTAATCATCTACAGTCATGAAACTCTTCAAGATATTGTTGTACCTCCAATTCTGGTGCCTTGTACATCCTGATTTCCATCACTCTCCCTTTGGTGATTGAACCTTCAGCTGCCTCTACCCTAAAATCTGGAATTACCTCCATAAATCTCAATCTTCTTCAAAGCTCCTCTTAATGTCTACTCTTTTCACCAAGCGTTTGGTCACCTGACCTTGTAGCTCCTCAAATCGATCAAAGATAAATTCTGCGCAGTAATCAAAAACAGAAATTGCTGGTGAAACTCTGCATTTGTGGAGAGAAAATAGAGTTAACGTTTTGTGTCCAGTGATCTTTCAGACCATTCTGAAAACTTCAAAAACTGCAATTATCTTCTTTTGTGCCAGGCATGACTCCAACCATTTGGAGAGTTTTCTCCCAGATTCCTGTTAGCTCTTGTTTAGCTAGGGCTCCTTGATGCCACACTCGGTCACATTAAGCTTGGTGTCAGGGACAGTCAGTCTCACCTCATTTCTGGAGTTCTTTTGCTCATGTAATGAAAATGTCAGTCAATTAAGCACTGTTAATTGTTTGCACATGTTTGTAACTTGGTTAGTAAGTGTTGTGATAGAAATGATTAATGTACATCATTGAGCTTTGTTGATCATCTAATCAAGATATAAACAAGGCCGCAGTTGTCTAACATGAGACATAAATATCAGCATGTTTTGTGCACCTGTTGTGGAATTTGCTATCCAGTTTTTGATTAAAGTTCCTCTGTTTGGCAGACTGACTTCTTTCAGACGTTGTATTTACATAGCAGTTTTGAATGTAAGAATCAGTTTGATACACCATTTACCCCCTGTTCAGACCTAACTTTAACAATTTTAGAGTTAAGTATTTCTGTCATTAGCTCTTGATGGCTACAGTCCATAGCTGCATGAAAGACAGACCAGTATTAATTAGGTGGCTGCTTCCCATTTTGTTAATTTGAATGACTTGTGAAGGATTTAACCGTTGGATTTGACTGTTTTAACCATTTCAGGAAGGTATTCAAGCTGCTGTGTTATTTGGACTGACTTCAGGAGTTTGCTGTCACTACTTGTTTTTGCATAAATGTTTTGGTCATTTAATCCATTAAAGTGTCTGGAGCATGAAATTCTTTTTTCTGTAGCGATGGCATACAGCTGATATTCAGCATGCAATACAGACAAAAAAACATTCATTCATAGTGCACTGTTATTGGCAACTACTGCACATAAAGTCTCACTTAAGTGTATAAGTTATGTAGGCTTGCCTGTGAGAGCTAACCTTTGTATTTGGCTTGTAAAAGTTGACTGAAGCTTGAATTGAAACAGTACTGTTGCTGTCAACACAACGTTAGGAACATAGGAAAAGGGGGATGCCTTTCAGCCCTTTGAGCCTTTCTCATGATTTAATTAGATTGTGCTTAGTCTGTGGAATAGAATAGAATGGAGTAGAATAGAATCCCTACAGTGTGGAAGCTGAAGAGGGTTTGGGGACCCGACACCAAATGCTGCATTCTGGTAAACAGACATCAGACATGATACTTTAGTATGGGGGTAGTGAAATCAGGAGGTAGAGCTTCAGTCAGTAGAGGGAGAAAAATGAGAGAAAGTTTGAAAGTGGGAATGCTTATGGTGGTGGGAAAGGACCTTACAATATGCTATCATAGATGTGATTATTAAAATAGTAATTAAACCAAACAAGAATTAACATGGCACAGCAGTGACCAGAATCATAACAGTATGATATTTAATCACATAACTATCAGTGCTGAACTTGAAATAGTATTGCAAGGGAAAATATCATTTAATAGACTTCAAATTGTGGCCCTGCTGACCTCAAGAATTCTGCCTTCTTGTTCATGTGTTGATCCAAAAGTCTTTAAGACTGCTATTAAGTCAATCTGTCAAAGCAGCTTTTTAAATATTTATTCTTTGTATGTAGGCATTACAGGCAAGGGCTACATTTATTGTTGAAGGCTAGCAACTGAAGAGTACCTTTAAATTGACCATCTTGGTTCAAGACTGAATTCATATAATGATAAGAATGATAGTTTTCCCTTCCGTTGGCTTGTTAGAGCAATGCAAGATTTTAATGGTCATTTCTATTGGGACCAGTTTTTCTTTGTAAATTTTGAGAATTCAAATTCTCAAAATTCCATGGAGAGATTTGAACTCTAATTTACTCATCCAGTAACATGACCTTCCGCATCTTTGAACATTAATGCTACAGTTGATTTCACCTTTTGTGTACACTGTTGCAGTAGTTCAGCAGGCTCAGCCTTTTCTGTTCGATCTCAAGAAGAGAACTAGAGATTGAACTAAAAGAAAGGATAGAAATGCAATTTGTTGTCCACATCTCTCTCTCTCTGCAAATTGCAGTGAATTATTTAGCCAGTCTCCCAGGAAGAAAGTGCGGTTTGAAATTTGCGGTATGGAATCTGAACTGCATGGTCTGGTATTGGCTTTTGGAAGCCTTCATTTTTACATCTTTTTGCCAGACAATTCTGACTGCCTTAAAGGTCAATTAAATCTGTTGAATAATTAATTTAACACTTGGAGTTTCTGATACTTCTAAGTAGAAATCTTTTTGAAATGGGTAGTGACATCCTCATTATAAAAACCTTAAGTAAACCTCAGTTTTGGTACTTTACTCAGACTTTCAGGGCATAAACACATTTCCAAACTTATTGTGTAATAATGTGACAAAAAATGAATAAAGTCCATTTTCCAGGTCTTAGGAGTAGAATTACTGGTAACTTCCTTGAGACTTTGGTTTTTATTGGTAAGCTTAATCATAAACGTGTTTTGTTTTAAGCATTCTCGGCTGCTATTTTGTATTTGTGACTGAGTTATGTTGGTGAACATTATCAGGTTCTTTGATCGCAGTGTGTCAAACCTGATTCTGCCCTCACCCGGTATTGACATGGGACAGTGAATCAGCGCAATTCTGGCCAATTTTCACTTCTGAATAATGTCAAATAAATTAATTTGTTGACAAGTACAAAACCTTGGGTATCAGGTTCTTAACATCTGTGCAATTAGCAATTCTAATCTCCTAAAGCTTTAACATAGAAACTTTGGACTTATATAGCACAGAAGGAGGCCATTAATACCACCATTATTTTGTTTTATTTGTTCATGGGATGTGGGTGCCACTGGGCTGGCCAACATTTATTGCCATCTCCAGTTTCGCTCCAGAGCTGCCTTCTTGAATCACTGCAGTCCCTGGATTGTAGGGACACCCACTGTGTCATTAGGAAGGAAGTTGCATGATTTTGAACTGACATACTGGTGGTGTGGTTCCGAGTCAAGTTGTTATGAGTTGAGGGGTTGGTGGGTTCTGTAGGTGATGTTGATCCCATCAAGTTGCAAGTTTTGACGGTTCTGTCAGAGGAGTCTTGTTGAGTTACCGCTATGCATGCTGTAGATGGTACACACTATGCCATTGAACATCGGTGATGAAGGAGTAAGTGTTTATGGTGTATGTAATTGTGCAGTGATGGATGGGATGCCCATCAAGCTGCAGCCATCCAGGCAAGTGGAGAGTATTCTATCATACTCATGACTTGTATCTTTATAGATTAGGCAAGATCTGAGCTACTCACCACGGAATTTAGAGCCTCTGACCTATTGCTCCAGAGGCCTCCAGCATCATAGATGCCAGTCTTCAGCTAATTATGTGAATTACGATAGGGTTTCAAAATAAGGCAACCCTTGATGACATTTGTCTGATTCTGTAGGTTTAACAAAACAAAGTTAACTTGGGTAAATGGAAACCATTTCAGAAAAGTAGCATGTCAGGCTGCTGTATAATGCAGCAATAATAATGAAATAACAACATAATTAACAGGTTAGTGCATAAATGAAACAAATACTTTTTATCACGAAGCTAATCCCATTTCAATATATGTACTGTTTCACTTTAAACTCTTGTTGGTATTTTGGAAGGCCATTGGCCTGAAAGAGAGAAACACTTTGACCATGAAATTTGATGGGAAGCATTTTTATTTGTTTTACTGAAGCATTTTTTCTCTTTAATGCATCAGATGATGTAAGTATCCTGAAACCAATTTGGAGTAGAAATATGCCATCAATTACTGATGGAAAAAAAGTGCAATTGCAGAAAAATTATCAAAGTGCTGCAGCACTTGACTTTGCATCCCACATATGCTGGTTTACATTGCAGGTTATCTACATGTGGTTTGTCAGTTCAACAACGTTTGGGTCCAACCAGTTCACAACAGCTTAAATTAATCTGTTCTAAAACCATAGAAAAGTATCATAAACTTGACAAATACCATTCAAATGAAAAAAAAGGCAAACTGCTTTGATACATGGCAAGACTTTTGGAGATGAAGAATATTCCAGTCACTTTGTAGAGCTTGGATACCAATTGGCATGTGTCATTATTTGGTCCATTTCCAGGTTGTTATGCAGTGGAACTTGACAGATAAAGTGATGGTGTCTTAGAAATTACCTGTTGTGATTTGTTGCATTGTTCTGTTGTACCTTGTTGCCCTTGTCTGTGGATCCCTGCACTGTAACGGGATGCTAAAAAACATCCAGAAATTTAAACTTTTTCTGTTTGTCCTCACTCAGCCCTTTTGAAAGAATAGATTGAAGATATTGGTCCTTATCACCATGTGGTGATTGTACTGTTGAGACAAGGAACTTGCCATATTAGGAATTGCAGGTGCAGTTGCTACTTGCAAAACTCTGCAGCGCCTAATATAAATACCTGTCTTAATGATATGCTAATTTCAAATTTGTAGTGTTTCAATAAAGTATAAGCAGTCTAAAAATTACATATATATTGGATGATTACCTCCACTCAACCATCAAACGTTTTTAATGTATAAAAATGTTCGTTCTTTATTTTATTTAGGCCCAAGGTCAGACTTTCAAATTTCCAGACATTTTTCCTCAAAAAGATCAAACTCCTGAACCAGGCTCTATGGAAGATATCCAAAATAAGTTTCTGGAAGATGAGAAGCAGAAACAGAAAGCAGACCCACGGCGAGGAGGCGTCACTGAATGGTTTGGACTTTAAGAGAAACAACTTTTCAAAAGTTTTTTTTAAAAAAGAAAATATTATTTTCCAGATAGCTTACTGACCAAGCATGAACTGAGTATTTTTGTTTTGAAAGAGTGTCAACTCGGCAGGTTTCAGATGCTTCATATTGTTTATTGTGAGGGGTACATCCTGTGAACATGCACTCATCTTGTGTAACGTTTGCTGAACAACAGCTGTTCTTAACAAGTGATTTGACTAGATTCTTGTAATCCATCATAAGGTGCTGTGTTGTAAGTTTGACTTTGATTGAACTTTGACGTTGATGATTGGAAACCTGGTTGCCAGTAATTGGTGCAAACACCTGAGCATTGTTTGTCTGGATCCAAAACACTCAATCCTCTGGGAGCTGCGAAAGTCAGAATGTATATGTAAGCACATGAGGGCACCCTGACAGCTTAAATTAATTTGGTGAAAGGTTAAATTCAACGTTGGCGGAACAAAATGAAGTTATACTAAGGCCAGATGTCATGTTAAAAGATCACGCCTTCCAAGGAATTTATTGGAATAGCCTGTATACTGTTTTTGACACAGAATCAAATTTGTAAATTGTAATTGTTCATTCTTATTAAAACAACAGTCTAATATATTGTGAAGTGATACTTGAATAAATTTTGTAATAATTATTTCAACAGCAAGCTTGTAGCGCATCCAGAAACTATGAAATTTTGAAATATTTCATGACATCTTAATACACGGTGATTAGAGACGTATTTGATGTATTCCAAATGCACAATGGTGCTGGGTTGAGTTTTCAGGCTTGTTTGTTACTCAAGGTGGAAATTGCATACAAATCTTGCTATTTAAGAAAAATCTGATGTCATATGACTATGTCCTGATATTTTTGTTTAGCATGCATCAATGGATAAATATTGCAAGATGTTCTGCTTTCTGTTTGTCAGATTTTCAATATCCACAGTATTTCATTTTTTTATTTGCTTCTGCTTCTCCTTTTGCTTTTTGCTAAATTCACAGCAGGTCAGACAATACATGAGCTTGAGAAACAAAACTGAGGGGCGGCACACTGGCTCGGTGTTTAGCACTGCTGTGTCATGGCACCGGGTACCTGGGTTCGATTCCAGCCTCGGACGACTGTCTGCATGGAGTTTGCACGTTCTCCATACGTGGGTTTCCTTTAGGTGCTCCGGTTTCCTCCCACAGTCCAAAGGTGTGCAGTTTAGGTGGATTGGCCATGCTAAATTGCCCATGGTGTCCAGGGATGTGCAGGTAAGTGAATTAGCCATGGGAAACATAGGGTTACATGAAGGGAGGGTGTGGTGTGGGTCTGGGTGGGATGCTTTTCGGAGGTTTGGTGTGGTCTCTGGGCCGAATGGCCTACTTCCACACTGTAGGGATTCCATGATACTGTGAACTAGGGAATAGGAAGTACCAGTAGCAAACAATTTACCAGTTGCCTGCTAGATGTTATATAGTTATAGTTGAACAGTTGTAGAAACCAGTGACTTTAATAAGAATTTTGGGGGCCAGGAGGTGAGCTATTTGCTACAGTATTCTTAGCTTCTGACTGGCTCTTGTAGCCACTGTACGTATATGGTGAGTCCAGTTGAGTTTCTGGACAATGGTAGACTCCAGTTGTTGATAGTGGGGCTTTCTATGATGATAATGCCATTGAATGTGAAGGGGCAATGGTTAGATCGTCTGTTAACTGAGACGGTCATTGCTTGGCATTTGTGAGCTGTGAATGTTGCTTGTCACTTGTCAGCTCAGGCCATCTTGTTGCTTTTAAACCTGGACTGCTTCAATATCTGAGGAGTCTCAAATAATACTGAACATTTTGCAGTCTTCGGTGAACATTCCCACTAGTAACCTTATGATGGAGGGAAGGCCAATGATGAAGCAAGGAACTCCTGCAAGAGATTTCCTGGAGCTGAGTTGACTGACCTCCAACAACCACAACCTGTGTGTCAGGTATGACTCCAACCAGTGGAGAGATTGCAGTTTTGTTAGGGCTCCTTTATGCCACGCTCGGTCAAATGTAGCCTTGATGTCAAGGGCTGTCTCTCTCATCTCACCTCTGGAATTCAGCTCTTTTGTCCACATTTGAACAAGATCATGAGTTGAGTGACCCTGGCAGAACCCAAATTATGCATCATTGAGCGTGTTGTTGCTAAGCAAATGCCGCTTGGTAGCACTGTTGATGACACCTTCCATCACTTGATTGATGATCGAGGGTAGACTGATGGGACGTTATTTGGCCAGGTTGGATTTGTCCTACTACTTGTGTATAGGACGTATCTGGGCAGTTTTCTACATTGTCGGGTAGATGTCAGTCTTGTAGCTGTACTGGAACGGCTTGGCTCAGGTAGTGGCAAGTTCTGGAGCACGAGTCTTCTGAAATATTGTCAGGGCCCTTTGCCTTTACAGCATCCGTTGTCTCCAAACCATATCTTGATGTGGCCTGGAGTGAATCAAATTAGCTGAAAGTTAGCATCCACTTCATATTTCTGGCTGAAGATTGTTACGAATGTTTCAGACTTATTGCAGAACTTCCTATAGAGGAAGAGAGTGGGTTTAGAAGGTGTACAATTTATTGGCTCCTGTTACTCTGGGGTGTCTTGTGAGTCATGGTAAGTCAGATGGAAATTGCTTATTGGGTATATATCAGTGATTGGTTTAGATAGCTGTCAAATTGGGTTAGTTATAATAAATCATAGTGAATAAGGTGGACACTAAGAAGTTCTTCGAGTCTGTATAAATAATTTCAATGCTTAGTAGATATTGTTGAGGAATTCTTTTCGTGTTTGTTTGCTTGGTCGTGAGCAACTACTTGCTCTAATACAGGGAAGACTGCTGTCTGACTGGTGTTTAAAAAAGTGCAGAGATAAAAGTTGGTCTGGGCTACAAGTCTGCTGTGCCTTGCAAACTAGAGATGACTTGAGAGGCTGAAGGTGAGTATTTAATTGCTTAGGCAGGTTTCTAGTTTTACGTATGCTTTGTTGTAGAGAACAGAGCTAGGTCACATTTTGATTTATATCTAGTTTCTCAGAAAAGCTTTAGTGGAAGCTCAGGATCTCCATCAGTGAAAGTCATGGGCTTAACTTCTGTCCATCACCCACCCCCTCCCTAAGATGGGAATGGTGACTGGTGACCTTGAAAAAGCCAGTGCTGGGAATGGCTTGGGACAATTCAATGTGTCAGCACAGATGCTGGCAACAAGGAGCTGTGTGGGAGGATGTTTGAATAGGGATTTTGCATTCCCAAGTTAGGTCAGTGAAGACTTTCAAAAAGTTCATTTCAAGCTTATTGTAAAGGTGAAATGGGGGAGATGGGATATCTAACTCGGGAGTCTGGTTGGGGAGATTTTAGAAGCTGGTGTGACAACAGCTGAGGGGAGAGGGATACTTCATGGGCAACCAGTCATGGGTATCACCTGGCCTCATAAGAGGGTCACAAGACCAAAGGTGGCTCAGCTCTTGATCAGATATATCCTTAGTACTGCCCGAGTGGTAGGAAGAGTGGGCATTCAGTCCACAGTCTTAGAACGGGGTTGGCACCCCTTGGTATCATGGGAACAGTTGGGCAGGGTAAACACTTCCAAAGGCATTAGGGTGACCATCTGTAGGTAAGAAGAAATGCCCCACCTGCCAGTCAGGGCACGACTGCCAGATTTTGAGCCTTGTGGTGGTGAGGGGCGATGTCATTAGCAGGTACGGCAGGACGCTGGACATCAGGAGGGTAGAGGAGTGGAAGGTGGTGTAAGAGGCAACAGAGCCTAATCTCTGAATACAGAATTGATCTGTCAGGTGCAAATTGCATCCAAATGGCCATCAAACCATCCAGTCACAAGCCAATGAAATTTAAAATCAGTAAGAGCTTCCATTCCCTGAATAATTAACTGGTTTATGATAACAACAGAAGTTTCGTTGATGTGATACTCACTTTCCTGGCAGCAGCCACGACTGTGTTATCCTCTGCTACTCCAGGGTAACTCAGATCTTCACTTCAACATCCAAAAGTAACATGGATGGCTCTTTGGGCACAAGACAAACTGTTGAAAGGGTACTTTCTGGATCCCCAGATAGAAACACAGGCAATACAGCCAACACCAAGAATAGTTAAAGGTCAGTACTTGAGAGGTGGTATATTGCTTACTGCAACCTAATGCTTAGAGCAGAAATGGTGAAAAAAAAATGGCCCATCCTTGGAGAAGGATGAATTTTACCAAGTTGCAATGTAAATCATGCAACCCCAACTAATGTGAACATTCCACAAATCAGTCTGATGAAATAGCACTTCAGTTATACAGCTGTAAAGATTTATTGTACATTATGGCTTTTAAAAATTGTACTAGAAGTTCAGTACGAAAGCTAAATATTTTTATCGTTTGAGGGCTCCCTAGTCCTCTCCTCCTATCCTCCCTCCTCCCTCGAACCAAATTGCCCCACTGAAACTCCTTTGTGAAAGTTCTGTAATTGTTTGTTTTCTGTGATACTGTTGAATCTTTTGCTGCTTTTGTCTGGTGGTGTTACCTCTTTATAAAATTTGGCATTGATTTATTTTCTAGGTGGTTAAATTGATTCCTCCTCCCCACCTCAATGAGAAATATTAGGAATTGTTAACCCCATTTCAATATAATTACTTTCATAAAGCTGTTTTGGTCCATCAGAGTGATTTGATTTTATCTGTTCAGACTACTGTGTAGCAAGTCTCTGGGATTATTTAACTGCAGTCTGGGCTCTTGTTTTAGGACAGTACTGACTGCTGCACTATTAGCTGTGCCATCTTTCAGATGTGCCAGTCCAGTAATAGAAAGATGTGCATTTATATAACACCTTTCAATTCCTCAGGACACTTGAAAGTACTTTACATCTAATGCAGCACTTTTGAAGTGTAGCCACTGTGCTATTACAGGAAATGTGGTAGGCAATTTGTGTACAGTAAGATCCCGAAATGTGATAATGACCAGATTGTCTGTTTTTGTTGATGAAAGTTGTAGGAGAAATATTGACCAGGATACCAGGAAGAACCCCTCTGATTATCTTCAAAATAGTGTCACAGGATGATTTTTGTCATCTTAAGAGGTGATGTCAGTGCCTCTAATAATGCAGTGTTTCCTCAGTTTCTCGATTTTTGTGATCCCAGGCCTCTGGACTTCTAACTCAGAGGTGAAAGTACTTCCACTGAAACCAGGTACCGCTAACTTCCCCAAGTGTAAGATCTCATGGGGCTATTTGCAAGGAAAGTAAAATTCTCCACAATACTTATTCCTCCACTGTCGTCAATAGAATTGATTATATGGTTGTTATAATGCTGGTTATGAAGTTTGTTGTGATTGCCTGCTGTATTTCCTACATTACAATAGTGCCAACACTTTTTGAAAATGGCTTCATGGGCTGAAAAACACTTGAAGTATTGAAGTCAAGAACACTTGAACATGAAGTTGCGCATGTGATGAATAAATACACATTCTCTGTTTCTCTGTCACTCTCTCTCTCTCTCCAGGCTTGTTATGTTGCATAGAGTTTACTTGCTGTTTGTCTGCCAGTGAAATTTCTGTAGTGAGTAGAGGTGACGAGGTGTATGGCTGTTACCTATCAATAAAATTTAAATGTAGTCCAGTAACTTA